TTCTAAGCCTTAGAGAGTGCGTTTTTCTGATAAACATCTGTATCCATAATTGTTGGAATCACACCATAATCAACATCCTTCGTTCCATTGACTGTTCATGCGGATGTAATATATCAAGTGTAAAACTTTACTATAGATCACAAACATTTATCATCTCTAATTTTTCTTGTAGCCACTTATTTGATTCGTTTCGAGATTTGTGATTGTAAATCCTCAATTTCGCAAGTATTTTTCTATGAACCGAACCCATGATCTTGCAGAAATTATGCATCTGTACACCTAATTTTTCTTGGAGCTTCTTTCCCCCCTGCACTGATGATATGTAAAAAAAGTTTGCAAAGGAAAGGAGACCAATTTCACAGCGATGAAAAAGGCTAAGGAAAAAAGGTTATAAACAAGAAAGAGACTGTTTGGAGTTTGGTTTATGGTTTTTAATAATATATATGGGTAGTCGAGCTTCAATAGGCGTAGATTGTGACCACAATGCCTCCACGTGATGTCTTGGAGTTTTTGTCTGTGTAAGAAAGCTAATAGTTGCAGTGCTTTTGACATATTTTGACCAAACTTCTCTCGCTCCACCTTCAATTTTTAGGTGTTCATTTGACTCAATTTTCATCACAACGAGCTGTAGCTGTAGGGCATTTTTGAATTTCAGTTTTAATATTCAATATTCAATATCACTATCGCTATCATTTTCCTTTGTATTGGTGAGGGCTAGCTAAGCTAAGGTTATTTAATTTTCATATATGCTATCCAGCTCCTGCATATTTGGGCACCCACTATGTATAATATCTTCCAGTGATTAGAAATGTACTACGTATAATGCACAACTATATAGCAATAACTGTTCCATATTAGGTTTTTTTTTTTGGCAAGTCTTTTTTCTTTTGAAGACTTTCTTCATATTATAGACAATTAATATCTTTTCTAACTTTATAGTATGTTCGATAAAATTAGTTGTTTTTGTAGCTGTTAGCTGTTTTGACAGTGTGTAGTTATTTGAGTAGCTTTTCATAAAATCTAATTGTTACATGATTTAAGCTTTTCATAAACCTAGTTGTTTGAGAAGGGGGTAATTACTCCTTTTGTACATGTAAAAATCCTTTTACATACTCATATATATAATTTGTCGGGGAAATGAAAATCAAATATATATATAGAGAGAGGATAATTGATTTCCTAATTTTGTTGGTGTTTCATTTGTTTCTATTGACCTTTAAAATATGACTACATGATGTGAGAATTGATGGAAAAGGCAATTTCTTTATGTAGAAATTGCCATTCCAATCAATTTAATAATTAACCATATAGCGAATATATAACTTGGAATGAAGAATTCTTCCAAATTACACTCATGCGACAAGTCTAAAGTGTGTCCTAAAATTAGGCATGCATGCATGCATGAACAAGCATATTTAATTATTTGTGCTTGCAAAGCAATATTTTATTACTAAATAATTGATGCATCCAACCGCTTCCTTTTCTCGTTCGTTATCCTTTCTCTAATTTTCTATTAGGGAACGAAAAAAGGAAAAGCATTCAAAGAACAATAGTACGCAGAAAACCCATATTGGGAAGTGTAGATTGAATAAAATATTATCAAGAGTGTGTAAAATTAGGAAGAAAACAAAGTGCTTAATTTGCTTAGAGGATAAGAGCTTTTCATCACTTCAAGAAACACTGAAGTTGAGATATATATGCTAGAGAGGATAAGAGGCTTTGTCATTACACGATTCAGAACACTGAAGTTGAGATATATATAGATATATATATATATATACTATATATTATAAATTATATATATAGAAATCACCTATACATAATATAAGTAATCACCAACCCTTCCTTTCTAGTTAGTGAAAAGAGAGAATCATCTATTAGTTTTCTTGGTTATTTTATGTTTGTGTTTGTTGTTTCTTTGAAGACAAAAAAAGGCAATCTAACCCTAGTCTTGGTTTTTTTTTTTTTTTAATAAATAATATAAAAACACAGTCCGTATCAAACATTCTAAATCAAAACCTGCCATTCTTCGTTCCCATTTCAACTTTTCTCATTAGTATAAAATAAAATAAAAAAGAACTCTTAACTATTATTAAACTATTTAAAAATCACAAACAACACATATATATAAAGCAGTAAAGAGAGATTTTGCCTGCTTTTAAGTATGCATTATTGGATATTGTTGTTATGTTGTCTGGTAATCAATCTTACACAAATGTATCAATCTTACACAATATATACTACTATAATATATATATATATATATATATATAATATATATATATTAATAATCAGCGTTGTCATCAACCTATAGAAGCAAATTGCTTTTGTTCTTCTTCAGGATATCGGAAAAAAAAAGAACAGATATATAATCACTTTCATAACCTATAAAAGCAATTGCTTTGGTTCTTCTTAGATATCGGAAAAAAAAAGAACATATATTATTTTAATGTGAAGTGGGATTGTAGAGGATGGGAAGAGCAGAGATTCCACATCCTTAAATGGAAGAAAGGGATGGGGCAGATATATATATTGACCAAGACTCTTGTGCCATTCTTTTCTCCCATACCAACCAACTTCTCCAATTCCCTGCTCCCATATGAAGTTCTTGGAATTGTTATTAAAAAAGAACAAAGAACCAAACGTTTTTTTATTAGTATTATAATATGGCCACTAGAGCCATCACCACCGTCCATAAAAATCCAAGCCTCTTTTACTTGTATCCCCAAAAGACTTGTTTTGCTTACATCAACACATCAGAGACTGTCTCCAATTCTACTATTTTGCACTGATTGTACATTCATGCACTAGTCAATTTTAATCTCCCGTATCAGAACCCATTTATAGCCCACAAATGGGTTGCCTTCAAAAGAAGAAGCCAAAGAGAAATTTATGTAGATGGTATTGTCCGTCACCACCAAAGAAATTAATTGATGGGTTCTTTTAGATAATTAATTATGGATTAGTAATAATTAATTGATAATTAAAAGATGTACAGTTTTTCTGTTAACAGCTAGTCAAAAAAGAAAGTGTAGTGACCTGTCAAGCTTTCTTGGTGTCAGGGAGAGAGGGAGAGAGTGCGAGAGAGAGAGAGAAAAGAAAATGAAAGCACTGAAAGCTCTTTTTAGCCATCATGTATGTGTAACTTGCACAAACACACACACACATATATATGCACTCTCTCTTAGTGCGTGTACGTGTGTATGTGTGAGGAAACCAATTTCTTCTCCACATGAAAATGATTCCACTGGAAAAGTACTGTAAGGATTAGGGTTGTATGTCTCTGTATGTTTAAGTGTCTGTTTTCAAATTTGCACGACAATATACATTAGATATTTAATGTTAAAATAATAATTAAGAACAAATATTTATTCATATAATGTGATTATGGAATTTTAATGTATAAGATCAAGTTATTTTTTTCTTATCTTTTAGTGCGATTTTTTTAAAGAAAGTATTTTATATATTTTTTTTTCCCAATTTATACTTTGCTTAGCATTACTATTAATTTGATCAAATTAGATCTCAGAAACAAAAGATTCATATTGCTGACTCATTAAAACTAAAACTTAATTATTATTGTAATAAATATCTTTTAGTAAGAAGTATAATTAGATAAAAGAATTGATCATATAGTGAACCTATGTATTTGCTTAATTGTTTTATTAAGGTGAGCTCTCTTTCTTGTTCTCTTGAGTACCCACAGGGACAAGTTGCACTCTATTATACATTCGATGATGATCAGTCAACAAAGAATCATGTGATTTTTGTGCTCTAGCTGATCTTCCCATGGTGGGGTCATTTTCTCCAGACTGATAAAATGTATACATTTCATTTTCATACAAAGGAATAATGTTAGATTAACTCATATCTATAGTGAAGCTAACTCCACTGTAAACTGGTTAGGTTTCTGGTTTTTCTATTCGAATTCATATTTTGGAAACCCTTCCTTAGGTCTTAATCCCTAGTCGCTTATTGATATTAGTGGGGTTTTTTGTCCTCGTCTTTGTTTAGTCTAGTTTATTTTTGAGTTTTGCTACCAAATTGTTTGAAAAAATAAGAAGAAGAATGCTTTCTGTGGGTGATAATTTATGCTTCCCAGAGTAGAGGCTTCTACAAATAAGGCAGCCATTGATTTCCATTCGTTCATAATATTGACATATATACATTTTGGTAGTGTCAGACATTTGCATACAGATCTGCCAAAACTAATTATAAATTGCTAGACTACCTAGAAATTAAATTTGATATTGCTGATCAAAATAAACGAAAATATTAGAAGAAGAAAAATATTATTGACTAAAATGACGGAGCTTTTTTTGTTTGATTTAAGTTTTTTTGTTGGAGGGGTTGCAAGAAAATGAATGGGGGTGGTGGTGCAGGTGGTTCTTTAACATTTGACCTAATAAATGAAGATGGTTATAAAGAAGGCTATCTGGGACTGAAATGAGTGGTAATACCTTATAGTGTCAGAATGGTAAGAAAATAAAAACAGACATTGGGGTTTGAATTGAACAGAAAGGTACAGGTCTTACAGAGAAACGGGGAGCTACTAGTCATGATGATCTTGTGTAAGAAACAAGAATGATAAGGTTAGGTCTTGCTGATATTTCCTTCTATCATAATTGAAATAACCAAATAAATAAAAATAAAAATAAAAAGTACTGATGATTTGATTTCTGGAGGGTAGTTTTGAATGGAGGATATATACATGGAGATCCAGGGGGAAGATATATATATAATATATATATTATATTTATATATAGTATGCAATATCATTAAAGGTAGTAAAAGGAGCCGATTGGGACCATGAACCAATTCAATATCATAAAGAGTAGTAAAGGACCGATTGGGACCATGAACCACAACGGGTGGGCCTCAGGAAATCATTTTGGTAAAATTTAAAGCATGATTAATTACAGTACCAGAGAGTAGAGAGAGAGAGAGGAGGAAAAAAAAAGAGAGGTATAAATGTAAGATTTCCCTGTTTGTAGGCTTATATAAAGGAGAGTATGATGTTGGGGTCTGCCTTCTTTTAAAGGTAGAGTAGCAGGGAAAAGGAAAGAGTAAAAAGAAAGAGGGGAAAATTAGAAGAAGAAGAAGAAGAAGAAGAAGAAGAAGAAGAAGAGATCGTCTTTTTTAAAAAAAAAAATCAGTTCTAAATATCACCTTGTAATTTCGAGTAGTTATAATATCAGATAATGGAAGAACATCTCAGTCCATTGGCAGTTACTCATCTTCTTCAACACACTCTGCGTAGTTTATGCATTCATGAAAACTCTCAATGGGTTTATGCTGTTTTTTGGAGAATCTTGCCTAGAAATTACCCACCTCCCAAGTAAGTGCCCAGCTAGCTATTTCTAGCTACCAATGATTTTGCTCTTCTTTTTTCTTAATACAGCATTTAATTCTATAAAAACGATTTGGTACTGCCTTTTAATTATATTTTTTATCAGATGGGATGGTCAAGGAGCCTATGACAGGTCAAGAGGAAACAGAAGAAATTGGTAATTAATTAATCAGCTAATAATTCTTTGATTTAATAATATGTCAATGATCATAATCTTATATGCTATGTGAATATTAATTGTGCAGGATATTGGTTTGGGAAGATGGTTTCTGCAACTTCTCTGCATCAGCAACTGAAATAAATTCCAATGACTGTCCAAGTTCATCTGTTTATGGCAACTGTGAATTTCAACCCTATCAAGGCCTTCAACCAGAGCTTTTTTTCAAAATGTCCCATGAAATTTACAATTATGGAGAAGGGTAAGCAGCAAAATACCAAAAATATGACAAATTTTATGGTTGCCTGACATAAATATTAATATTTTAAGGCAGTGCAATTCATGTATGTATAATATATTATGAGCAGATTGATTGGTAAAGTAGCTGCTGATCATAGTCATAAGTGGATATACAAAGAACCTAATGATCAAGAAATCAACTTCTTGTCTTCATGGCATAACTCAGCTGACTCTGTAAGCAGATCTTTCCTTTCATATGCAATACATTTTGTAAAGAAAAGTAGAAAACTTAATGGGTTTTCATTTTCTTATCATATATCTGTATTACAGCATCCTAGGACATGGGAAGCCCAGTTCCAGTCAGGTATAAAGGTATATATACACTGAGTGCAGGCAAGAACTAATTTTTCTAATAAAAATACCGAATAAAAATACAAGATTTCAAATAGATGTATTTTCTTTGGATTAATATCTATACATAATATTTGCAGACAATAGCTCTGATTGCAGTTAGAGAAGGTGTTGTTCAACTAGGAGCAGTCCACAAGGTCTCTATCTCAAAGAAAATTTTAGTGTTTCTAATAATATAATTATATACAAGTGCGTGCACTGATTAATTATGCTTTGAATGTTATTTAATATTAAGGTAATTGAAGACCTGAGCTATGTAGTTCTACTAAGAAAGAAATTTAGCTACATAGAAAGCATACCAGGAGTGCTATTGCCACATCCATCATCATCTGCATTTCCTTTCAATGGATCAACACCAGAGACTTGGCACTATCAAACTGCAACTATTGGCGCTCCCACAGAATTTTATGACCATTTCAATAATCAATTCCCATTCAAAATAACTCCTTCTATGAGCAGCCTTGAAGCCCTACTCTCTAAGCTGCCATCAGTAGTGCCACCACCACAAGCACAAACCTACTGTACTGAGTCACAGTCACAGTATCTGGCCGTACAAAGACCGGCTATGGAGTTAATGGGGATGGAAAAGGTGGCGAAAGAAGAGCTTGAAGAAGATTATAGAGGTGAACATGAAATGGGTGAGAGTAGTTCTTCTATTTCAGCTTATCGTAGACAGCAATTTCACCATCACGATTTGAATGTTACTAGCAGCGGACCCAATCATGGGTTTATTGAGTGAAAAGGTATTATTATTATTATTATTATTATTAATTGGTAGCTATATATTAGGCTTATTAATGAGTATTATATATATAAATATGTACGTAGGGTTATCAGGATTGATTTTTCATTAAGGTCTAACGTTGTAAGCTGCTTTTTTTTTTTTTTCTCAGTTTCAGTGTCATTTTATCAATGTTTTTATTACTAATTTTCCTTTCAGGTTCTTTGGCTGTGGAAGCTATCTATCCTAGTCCAAGATTTTCTAGTATATATATGGTTTTTATTTATTTATTTATTTATTTATTAGTAGAACCATATGAAAATATATATAATGTGCATTCAAAGAGGATGAAAGTTAAACAAGAGAATTAAGTGAATATTAAATGCAAGAAAACAACAAATTATTTAAGCTCATATCAATCTCTTTTGGATGATTTTCAACTTCAGTATAATTTTTTTTCCTAAACCAATAATTAAACACATAATTCCCTAGAATGGAAAGTTCATATTCTATTAAAATACTATATATTTCTTATAATTACTTATCTTATAAATTCGATAAATACATCAAGTATTTTCCTATATCGATAAGGTAAATTTTATTTTATTGTCACTAAAATTGTATAAAATTATTGGTCAAAGAGTTTGGTTTATACTTAAAAAATATGTCATTGAATAATATAATAATGATTTACATATTTTCCATATTTGATAAAATACAAGCATGTCTTTAAATATATACACATACATTTGTCTTTAATTATCAATCCTGCATGAATAATTAATATTTTTGTTATATAAAAATATTAAGAGAAAATTTCATGTTGGAATCATAGAAGTTTTTCACTAATATAATAGTACATGTTATCAGAAAACATATCTATTTATCTTTTATAATTTGAATTATAGATATTCTTGAAAAATAAATTTTATTTTCATATTTGAAACTCACTAATTATCATTAGTAAAACTTTGATTTAATTTTTTTCAAATTGTTTTCTAACAATTTAAACCTTTTCAAGTTTTTGTATATTGTTAATTAAACTTCAAAATAAGAAAGTAGCAAGCCTCTTGGTGATGGTTTGAAGAACAAATAGTCAAAAGAAAATGTCAACATTATGGACATTGAAGATAGACTTTTGAATAAAGAAAAGGACCAATATGATAATTCACGTTCTGTACATCATCTGTTAAGCAATAACTAGCAGTGGCAAAAGCAAGACTCGTTAACTTGAAATTTTAACCATTCCATCACGGATTCACTGCACAAAATGTAAAGCCGTAGCGTACGGTTCCAACGTAGAGTGTACTTGACTTGTTGGATCATTTAATCCCGACAGATACAGGTCGCGTTGGAGTTTAACCTGATTTTCATTTATTATAAATATAAATATAAATATAATTAAATTGAAAGGAACCCGCTAGCGACTCTCTCGTTAATTAGGGAACCAGCAATTAGTATAAAGCTGCCGCTACGTAGCCAGAAACGTTTCTGGCAGAATTGATTTTCGAAACTCAGCTGATTTTTGGTTTTCCTTTCCCTGTGTTAGAAAGGAGACCAAGTATGTTTGGATCCCTTGCACAATCAAAGGTATAGATTCTATAGACAGTTCCTGCTTTCGTTGAATTTTTGTTAAATTATCTACTGTAATGGCGAATAGTATTTTCTCAAATAAAATAATAAATAAATTTTATATAAATTAAAAGATTTATTCTTGATTATAATAAATATATTAAATTTTGTGAAATATTTACAATGAGAACATTAACCTAACAAAGGAGAATTAATAGATTTTATAATTTCTATTGTGCATTATTTTCACCAAATTTTTTTTTTTTTACCTCTTATTAATCATATTTTAACTATAAAATTGAAAATTGTTAAATAGAATAGGCTTATAGGATTAAACATATGAAAAGAGAGATTGCAAATTTAATTTATCAAATATAAATTACTTATCCAACGAAACCATCGATATGTGAATAGCAAGATCAAATTTGTATATACATTCTGATGCCTAGGTTTGAAATCAGGATGACAGTTTTCTCGACATTGACTAATCCTCGTCATTTCAGGATATCATTGGCTTTCATTTTTATTTTCTTCGAATTCGCTGCTTGTAGGTCCAAGTTCAAAATGTCCGAATTTCTGAAAAACAAACCTGGAGCAAATTACATAGAAACAACCACATGACGTAGGAACACAAGTGCAGATAAAATTGGCAAAGTGGAGTCATCTCACATTAAGTATTACCAAGTAATACAATCTCTGATTGTAGAATGGTAAAACACAATGATAGTTTCCTTTTTTTTTTTTAGGCTCTCAATTGGAAAATTATAGCCAGACTGGTAAACAATAAACTGTTTGCTCTATCTTTTCATCAAATGAAATAAATGGATAAACTGTTTGCTCTACCTTTTCATCAACTGAAATATCACAACACAGTCACTTCAATGTTTTCCCATCTAATGAAATGCAGCCACCTCATCTTCGAAGTGTTTCAGTAGGCTCTCCATGCTCATTACTGAGTGATCACCCTTGTCTCTCACTCGTACACTCACCTGGGATAACCAATGGAAACCAACATTAAATTGTACATTAGGATATTCATCATAATTTATTATATTAATCTGAAACAAAACTACTACAGCCATCATCTCCTAGTTTTCCAATATTTTTCGTTCCAACTCCTAGCCAGAAAAGTTGCCATTTTCAAATTTTAGAATTAATATTTCTCACATGATGCATGCACAAGAACATTACAAAGAATTAGAAAAAGGAAGGCGATCTTTTAATTTGCCTACAAACAGGTCTGCCTGTCATCTTTACCCTTATTTCATATCTACTTGGCATATTGAACATACCATATATAACCCATCCACATCAGCTAAGGTTAAACTCTAAGAATTCACAACCTAACCTCAATCTAACAAAAAAATAGACCCATTTTTCTTATAGGACGAACGCATAAATGTCTTTTGAGTCATTATTTTGGAGCCTCATCCAAGTCCTATGTGATCTGGAAAGCTCTGTCATCTAGTCTAGTATAGAGAAGTCACCCTCCACGTAAACAAATGAACAACCATTAGGAAGTTCTCACATAGTACTGCAACTAAAAATCAATCTTCAGCATATTCTCAAAAAGCAAATCAAAGAAATTAGTATATATGAAATAATATATGAAATGAGTGACAGATTTTTAATCAATATTATTAATTAAGTATTAAATAATTAATAAGAGTTCATATTGGAATATGAAGCTTATCTCAAGAATATAAACTATATTCATCAGAATTAAAATTCTAGAATATGTTTAATTTTGATACGTCACAACTAATTTCGGATTCAAATTTAGTTGTTGTTTATACATACAATGCTATTAAATATATCTTAGGTGCTTTGACTTTATGCTATTTGTAAAATCAATGATTTAATGTCCTGCCCTTGTCAAATTGTTTATCCTAGAATGGAACTCAATTTACTTGAGCATTGAAAAGTACCTGTCCAGTTTTGGCTTCCTCTTCACCCACGACCAATATAAAGTTGTACTGTGCCAACTGAGCTTCCCGCACCTATATGACCCACACTTATCAGTGAACAAATTACTTCATACTCACACCATCCCAAGTTGTTTGTCATGTCAACATTCCATATAGCAACTAATGGACTCAATTGCTTGTTTACATAGTAAAAGCTATAAACACAAATCTTATGTAGCTAAATTTTGACGCAAACAAATACTATATTCCAACCACAGGAGGATATTAAACATTGATAGAAAATTATTGTGGGATGGATAAAAGCGGAAACGAGTAAATCAAGTTCGTAATTTTTGAGGATTTCATAAGATTTGAAACCGTCAAAATGCATTTGGCTCAGGCAAATCCGAACCAAAAAATCATCCAGAACCTCAGTTGTTCTGTTAAAGAACGCACCATGATCAATTACAAAGAGTGCTCATTAGGTTATCTGTCATCGAGTGCCACTTTAAACACAAAGCTGTATAACCAGTACCCACTGTTCTTTCAAGGACCTCCCTCCTATATTAATGTTGTCGCAATCCCTGTTTCTTTCTAAGAGTGGAACAAAATCATATTGTCACAACATCACCCTGAAGTAGGTTTCAGCATTCCTCATGAAACACTTGCTAGGTTTCACCATAATGAACTACAGTCGTCAGTAGTCTTTTAATGACATTAGAGAATCAACTTTTGAATGGATTAAAAAAAAAATTGAAGATATAAAACACAAAGACCATCCTGCAAGATATTAATGGTATTGAGGATAACAGCCGGTACCTTTTTCTGAATCTTTCTGTCAGTTGTGTCAACATCAACATGATAACCAGCTTTATGTATCTGAGCCTGCACCTGTGAGAACATCACAACAAAACACATCAATTTGATTTCCCATTTGATGAAATTAAAATATATTGAACTATCATTCCAATTTTATGGATAATTTCCCAGCTTCCCATGTTACCATCCTCAAGCATGACATAATTAAAACTTAACTTTCCACACTATATTTACTGCCACAACAAAGTTAGATTTTAACCTTAGAAGTATTTCTCTTATCAACAGTAATGAATTAAACAAGAAAATGATATTCAAGCCACAGAAATGCATATGGCAGAACAAGAGCTGTTAGGATTGATTTTGCTCAAAATTTTCACACCTGATCATCTTCAGATGAAGATCAACAGGCCAGCCAACAACATGGTGAACGTAAAACATCGATACTTCTGTTGGTTAGGTTTGTGTTGGGAGATGGAACCCAAGAGAACAGACAAGAAATTTCAAGTTTAAATCAATTTAAAGACTTGCAATTATGGTCTTGATTTTTACAGACCTTGCTAGGTATTTCACAGCATACTTTCTAGTCTTTAGGGTTTTAATCTTTGTTTGTTCAAGTCAATTCGTTGCCATTAAGTACTATGAAATTATCTTTTACTTTTAAGAGAAGTGTTTGTGGATTTTCTATCTTTTCCAGAAAAGGCGGGCAGGATTAGACAGTCTTTTGGGGCTTATCTATGTTTTTGTTCATATTTTGAGTCTTATTTCAAGTCATTAAAATTAATCTTTCCAGCATTCTATACGAGTCAAATTCCTTAAATTATTAGAATTTAGTAATAATTCTAGAAGTCCAACAATTTCAAAGTTTAGGATGACTGTGAGTGCATATATGCTTGTAATGATTTAAAATCTTTATCAGTCAATAGAACTCCAGCAATTATTGCTTGCTTGAGTTGTATAGGATTTTAACCCCATATCTGATACCAATGTAACATTAGGGCCAAGAAGCCTAAAGCCCTAAACCCATCTATTTTACTGTTCAAAGCGCTAGACTACCATTAAACAGAAACTCATTTATTCATCTTCCAATTGAGCAAACTAAGAAAACATGGTTTTTACTAAATTTGTTTTTTACACTTGGAGAATTAAAATTTTTAAAGAATGACTATATTAAGAACAAAAAGGAAACAAACATAGAATATATATATATATTGTTTTTGGAACTGAAATGTAGGAGCATATTTAGTGAACTAAAATTTTACAAGGAATATTCAAAATAATGAAATCAAAATGAATAAATTAAAAACAAAAAGGAAAAGAATCTAGAAATATAGTTAGAGAACTAAAACTGTATAAGAACTATTTAAAAAGTGATGTTCTTAGAAAATGAATCAATAAAAAGGAAATAAACTTAGGGATAAATACATAAGAATCGGCACTTGCACAATGTTTTGATAATAAGAGGGAAAGGGTTGGAATAGGGAGGGAAAATAATGGAGGCAGGAAAATTTTAAAATGCACTGTTACTTTCCTTTCTTTGTTTGGATAGGAGCGCAAGGAAGGAAATACATGAATAGTTCGTTCATTCATTATTTTGTCTCAAGTATGCATGCAATGGGCTGGAACTGGCAGTTGCGGGGAAAATGGCCCAGTCAGTGCCAATCCTGGTTCCAGCAGGGTTTCCTTTTTTTTTACCTTTGGTTGAAATGGCCTACCGTCCAGTTCCAATTCTAATGTTTGAAACTGGGACCAACCAGGGGACCAACTAGGTGGCCATGCCTAGTCTCCAAGGAGACAGAAGGATGGGAGGAAACAGCAATCCTTCCTTATTTTACTCTTTTCCCAAACAAGGGAAACACCAACCCTTCCTTTTATTCATCTTGTTATTTTATTTCCTTCTTTATTCTCCTTTTGTTATTGTCTTTCTACCCATATTTTCAGCCATGAGAGCTAAAGAATGAGTATACAAGAAAAAACAAGAAGGAACACTGCCCTTAGGGCTTGAACCCAGGATAAAGTATTGCAATGAGCTAGAAAATGTAATCCTCCATATTTTTCCAAATAAGGCTTTTGCGTTAAGTGTAAGCAATGAGAAACAAGTTAAACATGTCCTCCAGGAGTCAGTTACAGCGTTTTTAAAGAAGTTAAATCATTTCCCAAGAGTACTCATTTCCGATTTCCTATTTGAAGAGCTCCAAATTTGAACCATCAACTCCTTTTCCAAGTTTTCCAGAAAACAACACAGCTCTCAACTAGTAGACAAACCGGTAAAAAACTTCAAATTACTCCCTTCAAACCCAATATGTGGGTCATTGGGTGCAAAGGTTTTATCACACAATAAATAAACTGCCAAACAAGGTTAAACTCAGGCACATTTCATTCCCCATTCTAACCAACTTCCATGAAATGCATTAGTATGGCACAGCAATGTGAAACCACAACAGTTCCAATCTGCAAGGGTTCATGGGGCAATATTATGGCTTATTCAATGAAAACTGGGAAGCATTCACAGGATTTGGATTGTGAAAACCCAGGTTGCTTTTCAACAATGACAAACCTGGATATTGTATCTGTCCAGTTTAAATTCAGGATCACCCAAAACTGACCCAATCTTTCTTAAAATTAGTTGGGAAAATAACTTGACACACAAACTTGGTTGACAAACCTGAAAATTCCAGGTTTCATTTATCTGAATCAGTTAGGCAATAAGTTTCTGAACAACATTATAAACAAGTGCAAGCAGCAAGTAAACAAGCATGCAAAAGCAGTAGGCTTTAGACAATATGTTGATTACCTCTATGAAATAATCACTACAATACAAAACCAAAAATGAAAGGTCGCATGCATGAAGAAATACAATTGCATGTGGCAGTGAATTACAGAATGCCTAAAGGTTGAATGTGTGATATGAAACATTATAAAGTCCATCCAAATCAAAAGCACAAAACTAACCTGCTCTGCATATGGCTGGGATTTCTCAGAGACAGGGCAGACAATTGCTTGACGAGGACTAAGCCAGAAAGGCCATTTCCCCTTGTAATGTTCCAATAGAATGGCAAACATTCGCTCCACAGACCCTAGGATGGCTCTGTGTATCATAACGGGTCTTTCCCTCTTGGCTTCATCTTCTGCTGAGTACTCTAACTCAAAACGATCCGGAAGCTGGAAGTCAAGCTGCAACCAGAGTCTTTTAAGTGAAATTCTGATACCGTGGCAAAGAATAACTGGAAAGACAAGAACAAAATTAAAATCCAACAATCTCAACCTGCAACGTGGCACACTGAAATTTCCTGTTCAGAGCATCAGAAACACTAATATCTATCTTAGGTCCATAAAAAGCTCCATCACCTTCATTAATCTGTACCACATAACCCAAAACGTAAGCAACTGGAGCCAAAGCCAGCAAAAAAAGGGTTTTCATACAATAGGGAAACCAAATAACTCTCTAATTGTACTGCCACATCTGATAGACTATCTAATAATTAGCCGGATAGCTCCTCAGAACATAACCCTCCCCTATTTATCAGACCAAAAATTGGCTACAATATGCAAGAGATTTTGAGGCTCTACAAGCTGAAGCATAGCCTTAAGTAAAAGTCTTTATAGACCCCTTTGCTTAAAGCAAGACGTCAACCAAGTAAATTTTAGTCACCACTTCAAAAGTATAGCGAAAAGAAGTAAATAGGAATAGTTAACAGTAATACCTGCCAAGGTTTCCCAAACTCATCCAATGCTAGTTTAAGAGCATCCTCAGCTTTCTCCCATGTTTCCAACTTTCCTAGATATTTCTCTGGCCTCTAAATACAGATCAGATGAAAAAAAACAAATCCTTGTGTCATTTCCACACCAAAAAAATAAAAAATAAAAAATAAAAAATAAAAAGAAGAAACAAAAAATCCTTTCCTCAAGGATTTTGCGCATACATTTACAGACCCAAATGCAAAACACTTTGCAAGGAGAAGATACAAGAGATGGGAATGATAACAAGTAATATTGTTGAAAATAATAAAAATCCAATCAATAGCATTGGCTTACAACAAGTTCAAATGTTGGCCCTCATGGAGACCTGATTCCTGAGAGAGAAAAAAATCTCTATAAAGCTAACATAGTTAGCTACGTACTTCATTAGAAAAAGGGTTCATGCAAATTACACTTGCTTGGTTCACTTAAAAATTGACCACCGAGTTTGCCCAGGATTTTTTCCCTAGAAGAATAATTTCATCAATACTCAATGATTTGAGTCCACTATTACAACTATCCACATTGTTTCACTAAAATTCAGTATTTTGCCAAATCTATAAAATTGTCCTGTAACTTCACTAAGCACATAAAATTACAAGTTTATTCACTGAATTTGTCAACCATCATACCGTAGATAGCTTCAGATCATAAGTAAAACCAAATACTTTATAGGCATAATCAATGAATTCTAAGACGCCCATCACTTCAGCTTTTATCTGGGGGGAAAAAAAAAGAAGGAATACATCACAACCAGTTAATGCAACAAAAGGACATGTAATGATTTTGTCAAGCATTAATTTAATTTGAATCACCTGTGATTCCCTGCAGAATATATGAGCATCATCCTGAATAAAACATGTAACAAATTAATTAGAAAAATAGAGAAATGATTGACTACGACAACCGAGTAAAAGTAATCAAGCAACTGAACATATAAAAGTTAACTGCCATTTGCGGAGTCATGCACGACAAATAAATCTCCTAACATGGGAAGTCTAATCAAATCAGTAAAATGTACACACATCAATATAGATAAAACCTTGAATTCAGCAGACATCCAAGCCCACAAATTAATGAAGTTCAGTATACTTCAAACTAGCATGTTGTACGGCAAACTAAAATCAACAGCTAATCTTTAACAAAAAAAAAAAACAGAGAAGACACTAAAATCCAGGTTTGAACTGGACACTTCTTCATTTGCTTTTCCGCTTAAAGACCAGCTTAGAATAAACAATAGGTATAATTAGATTTAACTTACTTATTTTATATTAACAGAATTCATTTGTTTATAATTAATAAAACTCAATTCAATTGATTTCATGATAGAATTCATGCATTTGGAATAACTATTAAAGTAATATAATTAAATTGAATTCGGGCGTATGGACTAATTTAAAAGTGAATTTAATGCATTTGATACTCTACAACAATCCTTATTTATATGAAAGGTTAGTGGGCCCTACCATTAACAAACTAAACAAATTGCATTCTTGCAAAATAACACTACTTTTTTATATGATTTCTATTCTTTTAAATAGATTTATTTTTTAATTCAGATGAATTGAATACTAGCAAGTAATATGGTTTCTGCACATGAATCGGCTAATATAATTCAACTGAACTGAACGCTGGGGGATACCTGCTGAAATCTCCGAACGCGTGTTAATCCAGTAAGTGCTCCACTGGCCTCATTGCGATGCAAGGCCCCGAAATCAGCCAGCCGAAGAGGAAGTTCTAAAAACCACTCCAAGCAATCAGAATTATGATGCAAGACAACAATATATGAGCTCAACAATTAAAGTAGCATGTAAAATTTGACAAGGTAAAGTTGAAAACTCCTATGTTCAGCATCACCAGATTTTTCATTGGAAATTGCATGGAAAAATTCAATTCTCCCTCAGAACAACCAGCAAAGCTATAATCAAATTACTTGCTTCTTAGCCTGTATTTAGTAGGTCTATAAATAACAAAAAGCAAAAATATAAAAGACAAACGAAAGAAAGGCAGCTCTAACAAGTTAACCAAACTCCAGCTTCAGTTTCATTTACACGACCAGCACATCAAAAGAACTAGCATCATCAATTAATTAGCTCAAGGATTAATGAAACAAATAATCTACCAGGTACAAATTTTTCGTTGAAGAAGGCAACAAATACATATCAGTTTGATACTTAAAAAGATTAACAAAGCAATTAATTGAAAGGTCATGCATCCTAAGAACTTTTAAACTTCTTCAGGAGTTTAAAGCAAAAAATGATTAGGGAAGTTTCTTCAGGAGTATACTAACAAGAATGCAACAAAAGCAAAAATGCTTGCACAGAAGGGGAGGAGAAGGAAGAAGGCATGCCAAGAACACAAAATTAGGGGGCAAATGGGATCAGCCCAATGTTTTTATAATAGGAAACAAACCAAGGACTATGCCAGCAAAGCTAAATGATTTGCGCCCAACTCAAAAAGGGAAAAGGGAGATTCAAATCATAAATGCCCTGAAAAATGTAGAACAGACCCATACAACAAAGTTTTGCTTGTTCACAAAAGTTAAATTCAACAAAGCTTAAACAGGCTATTTAACAGCATTGCCCCACAAAAAAGATGCTCTCAAATTAGAATAGCTGGAAAACTTGAAAAAATAATTTTTCAACATTCTCCCAAGGTAAACCAAAGCAGACTATGAAACTTTGTTCACACAGTTTTCATTAATTAAGTTCAATATCAGCAAAAGGAGTGTTCTGCTAGCTAAAAGAGACACTAGAGTTAAATTCCAATGGAATGAACTTACCTCTATATGAGCGGACTCTATGTTGAAAAATTAAACAGTGCCCTGGGCAATTCATTGGTTTCAGGCCAAACTCCTGCTTTTCAATCTGCATGAACGAAAAAAAGAACATCAGAAGCCTTTTTGCTTTTCCAGGAGAGATAGCGAGCATAGTCCTTTGAACTATAATATAAAGTATCCCAATTCTTCATTCTCTTCTTTCTTTTTTTTCAACTTTTTTTTTCATAGTTCATATTTACACACAAACAAACCAAGAACCCATGTACTGGTCCAATACAGCCCAAACTTTTCATCAAACTCACCCTAGCCCATTTTACTTAATTTTGAGTTGAAGATTCACAAATCTATGAAGCAGCCCTATCTCTAATTCCAAAGATATGCACTCCTTCCTCTTGCAGAATCTATACCCTCCAACTACAGCTTGCGAGTAATTAGCATTAATAGCTCATCAAAAACTGTCGTGAATATATATTCAATGAAACAATGATGATATTCAAAGAACCCCTCACCTCGAGCAAAAACATATTTTCCTTATAATTTGCAGCATGGCCAGAAGTCTCCCAAAGTTTCATGTTGTAAATATTTGGAGACTTGACCTGCAAAGTCCATCACATTAACCACTATTAGAAGGATAATACATTAGTATTTAGCAAATAACATTGACTCCTAACCTCTTCATAGCCTCTATCTCTGTATTGAGCTCGAATAAATTCCACTAGTTTGTTATAAATTCGAGTTCCATAAGGAAGGAAAAACCAACTTCCAGGACTGAAACCATAAGATATGCAAAAAAGTAATACTAACGACAATAATATCGGATTTAATTTATGCACCCAGAAAAATACATGAATTAGTATCAGTACCTCAATGGGTGACAAAAGAAAAGCTCCTGCTTTGTGCCCAACAATCTGTGGTCATACTTCTTTGCTTCTTCCAACTGTTGGATATACTCCTGGACAAGAAAGAAATGTTAGAAAAAAAAACTCCCTTCATAACCAATGTACATGGTGGTGCTTCTCTCAGATCATACGAACATGTATTTCTGTCTCCAAGTTCTTCCATATTTTGAATACTTTCTTTTGAGTCTCTTCACGTCATGTTGCCACTGTTTGCAATACTCAGCAAAACATACATGACCTACTCACTAGAAATAAGTGCATTTATATCTGAATTATCTTGAAAAGGCTGATCAACGGCTTTAAAATTAGCAGTTCAGTGCTGAAGTCATTCTTAGCTTCATTGAAGGACTTTTTATTGTTTACAATCAGGCGCTGATTCAAAAATACATTATGTGCAATTTCAGGTAAGGACTTTTTATTGTTTACAATCAGGCGCTGATTCAAAAATACATTATGTGCAATTTCAGGTAATTTTTTACTTTACAGCAGAGTATTCTATAGAATGGTGTGGCTGATTATCTTAGCACTCGTATGGAGACACATTCACTAGTAATATAGCAGCAAACATCTGCTTCTGTAATAAGATATACCAACTCTGACTAGGGGGTGTAAATGAGCTGAGCAGGCTAGCAAGCTGTTTAAGCTCGGTTTGAATGGAGCTCAAGCCTAATGATGTTCAGCTCGTAGAGCCTCATCAAGCATCTATATATACATATATATAACATTTATTTTAGGCTTACTCGAGCCTCGACTCCAGCTCAAGCTCAAAATTTTTCTAGTTGAACTCGAGCCTCAAGTCAAACTTGAGCCTAAAATTATCAGGCTCGTCGAGTTTCGAGCCTAGCAAGTTCGAGCTTGGCTCAGCTCGTTTACACCCCCTATTCCTGACCTCTCTAGTATAAGGTTAAAACATTGCACTTGCATATTGCTGTATTCAATAGATTTTCATAACAGAAAAACTCGGCTAACAAGAACACCTAACCTGAAATTGATAATCTCAAAAGAACCATGTAGAAAACAGAGTAATTGTTGCATCCAAATATATATCTTGAACATATAGAGAACTTCAACAAGTTACAGGCCACCTTAACAATAAAATGAGAAAGCCTAGACTCAGCCAATAAGAACACCTAACCTGAAATTGATCATCTCAAAATAACCATCTAAAAGTACACAAAGCAATTGTTGTATCCTGATATACAATATCTTGAACATATAGAGAACTTGAACAAGTTACAGGCCACCTTCACAACAAAATGGAAAAGCCTAGACTGTTACCATGTAAAAACTTATAAAAACATTTAAGCCGTTGATCAGTCCTGAACTGCATTTAAAAACGTTTCAACAGCAGAGGAGCAGAAAATAATATGGTTAAAGCAAATAAGCTCACAGCAAATACAATTTTCGAAATGCCAAAAATTGAAAATTCACCTTCAAACGTTTTTGGTCCGGATAGGATATCCCATAAACTCTCTGTAAGCTTTCTCGATCTTTGTTACCCCTCCAATAAGCTGATGAAGCCTGGAATGGAAAATCCGCAAGTAAACTGGTTAATGAATTGAAGACATACAAAATGTAGATAAAAAGCAAGCAATTTAAAATGTCACCTTCAAACACGCAAATGCTTTCACAAAGGATGTATTTGGTATATGGGGACCTCGACATAAATCTACCAATGGGCCACATCTGTATACAGTTATAGTTTTGTCTGCAGGAAGATCATTGATGATTTCAACCTGATAATAACATGTGCATACATGCATATATAAGGTGAGGGGAAAAAGGCGGAAAAGATAAAAATAAGAAAAGAACGAAAACTAAGCAATATTTGGTTCATTCATATAAATTACCATGTTAAACTTGCCTTAAAATTATTTTCTGAAAAGATCTCTAATGCTTGTTCCCTTGACACTTCGATGCGCTCAAAAGGTTGCTTCTCCTGAAATTGCAAGAATATTAAATTGCTCTCATTACTGAATGTGAAAACTGAAGTAATGGTTACTGTATCTTTGCATTAGAAAAGCAGGTTGCCTGTCTTTTCAATTTAAAATAACTTGCCAACAGAGCAATTTCCAGAAACTCTGGTAAGAGATCTGATACACCCCACCCAAATACAGAAGCCCACACCTCTCTCTCTCCTCCCTTTGGATTCACATACAAGAGAGAGAGTGTTTGAGTGTGAGACTGTGAAAGGAAATCGAGGAGGTCTCTAGACAAGCCGAAATGGTCCAGTGAAACCACACCACAAACATGACGAGTTTTTTGCTCTGGGAAAAACACTGTCCACCGTCCATTCAAAGGATTATGGTCAGTTTTTATATAATATTATTAATATGCAACAGAAAAGCTATAGGGACTGAATGGTTACATCCCTACTTCCCTTAACAACCTCTATTCACATGGAGGTTGCCAATCGAACAGATTGTGTGTGCACACATAGACAACTGTGCATGGTCATGAAGGATTCTTTTCAACCAAACCACATGCACTGTCAACGCATCAATCAGTTTTGGACTGGTTCAGCTCATCAGCTTGCAGAACTATTAGTTCATAAGAATTTACAGTTGAAAACTGAAAGTGTAAGAAGAATATTTCTTTTTATAAAGAAAATTTACAGCAAATAAATTGTAAAGATATATAATCATTTGCACTTTTGCTCGATTCAGTTAACCATCTGTTTTATGGTACAAAAAGAACAAAGACCAAACCAGTAAATCAAGTTATCCAACTATTTTGGTTTGGTTTGGTTTTTTGGTTTTGCCCAACCCACATAAGCAATGAGAGAAAAGAGAGAAAGCATCTATTCAATTGCCCATGTCTTTGCATGGCCATAATGAGTTATCATATTACTTATAAGAGTACTTCAGTAGCAACTATTGTTGTTTATCCCTTGAGAACATATCATTAAAGTCACTGACATACTGGTTCCACATGTAACCCTATCCATACATTACCACTATCTAGATGTTTTAAGTTATTTACCCTTTGAAGCTGTTTTTCATATGTAGCAAGACAGTTACATGGTTATAAAAAACAACTAAACAAGAAAACTTAATCAATACCAACAAGAACAGAATTCAAAACTTACTCTGAACCTTTATGCGCATAATAACAGCAAACCAGAACCATCATAAATCTCTAGAAATATATAGAATTCTAACAGAAGATAATGAAACAATACCGCAACTGCTTTCAGTGCCCCAGCTTCAATTTGTTTAAAATGTTCATCATTCAGACCCAATTCACCATAGAATGCATCATAATAGAATCCCTGCAAGATTCATTTCACATTTTACAAGGCAGAGCCTAAACAAATAAACACACACACACACACACACACACATTTAAACTATGCACAGATCACAAGTATAAGGTCACCCTTTCATATCTAACTGTATGCACCCATGCATTTGAACATAAAAGAGAATTTCAAGAACGAAAACCATGGTGAAATATTTTTTGATAATTTTATGCAAATAATAACATGCTTCAAATTTCACTATCCCAAGTCCATATCTTAGATAAAATGCAATGCTAAAAAGCCGTCAGGAAATTATTAAACACTAATAATAACATCTTCCACTAAAGCTAGGAATACTACATAACATCAAAATAACACCCCCGTGTAAATTTGGAAGTCCAACACACAATTAATAAATGTGACACATATTCATCCATGAAATTTGGAACTAAATAACATAGAATGTTGTAACTGTGGTAGACATTAAAACTCCTTGACAAAGTTTAAATAAAATTTTAACAAAAGATTCTAGGATTTCTTTTTTTTTTTTTAAATGTGACGCAAATTCCATCAACTGCCAAAATCTAGATAAATTACAATGAACAACCTCTCCACGTGTGTTTTCAATTTGGACAGAGTTGATAACCAAATTTACATGACTTCAAGAAATGAAATGAAATGGTCGAAATTGCAAAACAATATAGAATACCGTAAAATCTCCTTGAAAAGGCAAAAGTTTGTTTAAACCTTAATACAGACATTCTAAAGTGGGGCAAATTCCATTAACAATACAAATCTATAAAAATTACAGCAAAGAGCTTTTCCATGGGGTCATTTACGCTTTGTTTATAAACAAAAAGAGAAAGGAAGGAAAATAGAGTGAGAAAATGTGGAGGAAAATAAAAGGGGAATTCATCCCTTCATTTTCCCTCCACTCTGTTCATTTTCTCGATAATAGGAGAGATTCAAATTAGGTGGGACCAAAGGAAAATACTTTTTTTATTTTCTTTCCTCTTTTGTTTTCCTCTCCTTCCCTAACAAAGAAATACGCTTTTCACCTCCTATTTTCCCTTCATTATTCTCCTTCTCCTGTTATTTTCCTTTTTCCAAAAAATGGGTTAACACAAGCTGACACCCAAAATTGCTTGTAAGTTCAAGAAATGTAATAAAATAGTTCAACACCCAAATGTTTGGACAGAGTCAACACCCAGAATTACAGACTTTGTATACAAAACAAAAGGACTAAGAATAATAGTTTCAGAAAACAGCTTCACCATGGGGGTTTTTTATTTCGACAGAGCTGACATACAAAATTACTTGTAAGTTCAAGAAAATGAAGTGCATTAGTTCAATAGTTTGTAACTAAGAATAATATAAAATGCTTTAACCTTGATTGATACTAACCTCCTTCAAAAAACTCTGTAGAAAACAAAAGGAGTTTAAAATTTTTGAATTAAAAAATTTTAAAAAAAAAATTGGTGGAGAAAATTCCATTTACAGTCTAAATATGTACAAAACCAAAAAAAATTAAAAACCTTCTCCATGTGGGCATTCTACTTAGAAAGAGTTTATACACAAAATTACATGAAAGTTCAAGAAAATTAAATGGTTCAAGATCTTGCAACAAGAATGATAAGCTTCCTGATACAAAGATTTTGAAATCTTTCCATACAAAAAAATAGTGTTGTATAAACTATGCAGATATTTAAACCCCGTCAACAAATAGAACTTAATAAAAGGTTTTTAAAATTTTTATATTAAAAGAGAGGAAAAATCAATCAATAGTCCAGCTCTAAATGTAAGCTTCCATACAAAAAAATAGTGTTGTATAAACTATGCAGATATTTAAACCCCGTCAACAAATAGAACTTAATAAAAGGTTTTTAAAATTTTTATATTAAAAGAGAGGAAAAATCAATCAATAGTCCAGCTCTAAATGTAAGCTGAAGAAAAAGATATTCAAAGATAAAAGCATGTAATCCCCCACTTAGCAACAAAGTCTGTCGACTTATCCTTCATAATCATGAAGACAATCCTTGATTTTAGAGAAAAGAAGTTACAAAGTAAAGGATTTTTCAATTTCTATCATAGAAATGGGAAAAGAGCATCATTCAGTATAGAATGCTTTAACCTTGATAGATGTTAATCTCCTACAAAAAGTTTGTAGAAAACAGAAAGATTTTAAAATTTTTGAATTAAAAAATTTTTTAAAAAATGGTGGAGAAAATTCCATTTACAGTCTACATATGTACAAATCAAAAAAAATTTAAACAACTTCTGCATGCGGGCATTCTATTTGGAAAGAGTTTATACACAAAATTACATGAAAGCTCAAGAAACGAAATGGTTAAAGATCTTGCAACAAGAATGATAAGCTTCCTGATAAAAAGATTTTGAAATATTTCCATAGAAAAAACATAGTGTAGTAAACTATGTAGATTTTTAAACCCCATCAACAAATAGAACTTAATAAAAGGATTTTAAAATTTTTTTTTATTAAAAGAGAGGAAAATTCAATCAATAGTCCAGCTCTAAATGTAAGCTGAAGAAAATGTAATCAAATCGTTGAAGCTTTTGTTGCTTAAGAGCAACAAGTTCTAAACAGTTGCATTTGAAAAGCTATGCACAGAAGGAAAACATATAAGACATTACTTTTTCATCAGTCACCCAAATACTTAACAGAACGTGTTTCAGATATTGAATGACAAAAGCATGTAATCCCCCCTCAGCAACAAAATGTGTCGACTTATCCTTCATAGTCTTGAAGACAATCCTTGAATCTAGAGAAAGGAAGTTACAAAGTAAAGGATTTTTAATTTCTATCATAGAAATGGGAAAAGAGCATCATTCAATATAGAATGCTTTAACCTTGATAGATGTTAATCTCCTACAAAAAGTTTGTAGAAAACAGAAAGATTTTAAAATTTTTGAATTAAAAAATTTTTTAAAAAATGGTGGAGAAAATTCCATTTACAGTCTACATATGTACAAATCAAAAAAAAATTAAACAACTTCTGCATGCGGGCATTCTATTTGGAAAGAGTTTATACCCAAAATTACATGAAAGTTCAAGAAAATGAAATGGTTCAAGATATTGCGACAAGAATGATAAGCTTCCTGATAAAAAGATTTTGAAATATTTCCAAAGAAAAAACATAGTGTTGTAAACTATGCAGATATTTAAACCCCGTCAACAGATAGAACTTAATAAAAGGATTTTAAAATTTTTTTATTAAAAGAGAGGAAAATTCAATCATTAGTCCAGCTCTAAATGTAACCTGAAGAAGATGTAATCAAACGGTTGAAGCTTTTGCTGCTTAAGAGCAACAAGTTCTAAATAGTTGCATTTGGAAATGTGCAGAAGGAAAATATATGGGACATTACTTTTTCATCAGTCACCCAAGTACTTAACACAATGTGTTTCAGATATTGAAAGATAAAAGAATGTAATCCCCTCTTTAGCAACAAAGTTTGTGGACTTATCCTTCATAGTCTTGAAGACAATCCTCGATTCTAGAGAAAGGAAGTTACAAAGTAAAGGATTTTTTACTTGCAATCATAATATGTGTAATTTCTATCATAGAAATGGCAAAAGAGCATCATTCAGTAGATCAACTTTCAGAATATTATCATAATATGTGTAAGACACTGACCCCAATTAAAATTATCAGTAAGTATTGCAAGCTTGAATTATACTCCGAGAGATATTACCCTTTGGCATCCTATATTTATAAGCTAGTCATAAGATGTAACAACAACAACATCAACAATAAAAGTCAATGCAAAATCATACTCATACCAAAAATCACACTTATATACTGAAAAATTTTATGTATAGATAGTGTGAATAAATTGGTATAAAAAAAGCTTACCTCTCCTCTCGTGGTACAGGGTCCAATGCAAAGCTTGCAACCATAGGTCGCCTCCAGTGACTGCCAATGATTAGTCACATGCTTAGAAAAGATTAAAATGGATTTCTTTTTTTTTTTTTTTTTTTTTTTTACTTATAATCCATTGTTTTTTTTTTTTTTTTTTTTTACTTATATCCATTGTCATTCTATTTTATTAGTGCCGCCTACAAAGAAAAACTAAGCAATGAAATTAAAGATGCACGTTACCTGGCCAAGAATGTGAGCACTAGAGTGCCAAAACGTGTCGCGTCCTTCATCACTATCAAATGTGAAAAGCTTAAGCTCACAATCGCACTCTAATGGCCTATTCATGTCCCAAAGGGTTCCATCAACTTGTGCAATCAACGCATTAGCCGCCAAACTCTTAGAAATCTCCTTAGCAATATCCATAGGAGACGATAACCATTTCTTCCCTTCCTTCACCGTACCATCTGGCAATGTAATCCTATAAACCAAAGAAATTCAAAATCAGAACAAAAGGTTGACGCATTACCATACACGTTAGCGTTAGGTTTTTGTGGCTTTACTTGATAGTGTCGTGGTTTAGAGATTGAAGGCTAGCGAGTTGCTGAGACTTAATGGATTCAAAGAGCTTGATGCGTTTGTCGATTACGGCTTTGAGATACGCTTCGTCTTTTGGATGCGAAGCCGCCATGATGGTAGTGGCTAAGGAGGAGATAAAGCGTCGGCGAGAAGATTTAAAGAGGACAGGAGATGAGTAACGGCGGAGACAGAAGAGCAGAGAACATAGCATATGAGAAATGGAGTGAAGCCAAGGAGAGCCGTTGAAAGGGGTTTAGGGCTTTTGTAGTCTTGCTATGGTTGACTGGATCTATGTTTGTAGCGTTGGATTCAAGCCTGAAGTAGCGTTGGATTCAATCATAAGCCTATTTTTATTTTCGGCAGAAGCCCAAAACAAAACTTGGCCCAATACGTAAGAATTTGCTTACGTGGCACTGACTGATACTCTGCTAAGTTGTTTTTGGAAATGGGGATCAATTATCGACTTGTTGTGCGAACTTTGTCAGGTTTTTTAGCTTCAACCCAACCTTTTTTATTTTTGTCAATCAAATATTAAAAAAAAACTTATTTTCAATTGAATGTATTAGACCAGAATTTTTTTTACTGAAATATTTAAATAGATCATTTTTCTCCAATTATCCACTTTACTTATTTTTTCTTATTTTCTTTCCTCTTACTTATTAATAGTCTTTTCTATGACGTTTTTTATGATCTGCGTTGCATGTTAACTATGTTTATTATATGTTTATTCTTCATACTCGTTTAATTTTTTATTTATATAATATTGAAGTATAAATTTTTATTTAGACTGAATGGTTAAATTATATTACATTTTATATATACAAGAAATATTTTTTTGATTCTATGTTAACGTATTGATTTATATAGCTTTTATTATAAGTTATTTGCTTTCAATTTATTTTTTAAGGAAAAATTAAATTGATTTATAAAAATCATCATATAACTTCTATTATACGTTTTATAATTAATTTATGTGTTTTGTTAATAGCTTTTACTATATTCCCTTGTAATAAATAAATATACGTTAATAATAAAATAAGAAAGCAATCTAATAAATCAAATTAAATATTTATAAATAATAAGAAATTTTTATTTTTATTTTTTTAGCCAATCTTTAGCCAATCAAAATCATGAAAGCATTTTAAAAAATTATTAATAAAATTATATTCTTTAATATAAATAGAATTTGAATTATATTAGATATCAATATAACTAATTAAATTCGAGATATTTAAAAATAATAATTTTTTATCTTATTTTTTGGCTAACCAAGAGTGCAATTTGTAATTAAAAAAATTTAATTATACCCTTTTTAAATCGAATCCGAATCATCTAGATATATTTATTTAAAATATAAAAATTTTCAAATGCCTCATTTACATATATTATTTAAAATAATAATATTGAAGCTAATTATTAAATTAACAATAATAATAAATTTATTAATATTATTAATAATTACAGTAAATAATATAATGAGAATAAATATAAATAGGCATGAATTAAGTAATAATAGTAAAAATTTAAAATTTGAAATCTTGATTATTCTGTATATTTATTTTATTTATTAAGAAAAATTTCAAAAAAAATCCAATCAATTTTATAAAAAATATGTATATATATAATATAATATAATATATACTATATATATTTAAAATTTTTTTAATTGGTTAAAACTAAGATATGTTAAAATTTTTTTAATTGGTTAAAACTAAGGTTATTTTAGGATAAAATTTCATAAGGATATAATATGAGCAATCCAATTATTCCCCCTCATTTCCACTTTTATATATAGTAGAGATAGATAGATAGATTAAGTTATTATATCTTCTCTACTTTACGATTTTTTTTGGAAAATAAAATTAAATTAAATTAGAGAGAAATTATGAAATTTAAAACAAAAAATAAATTACAATACAAAAGAAAAAAGAAAGATAAATAAAATTGGTGTTCTAAAATAAAATAGTTGATTTATGACAATTAAGCTAAATACATTTAAACACTTGAATGTTAAAAAATCTATCTATAATAATAATAGTATATCTATTTTACTATATTGTCAAGCTCAAACACTATTGCTCTATGAATCACATTCAAATCTCTAATCTTAAAAGTGCTTGCTTATTTTTCATTATCAATTCCACGTTTTATTCTACTGAAATTAACAGATTTTTTTTGTCGTCCATTTCCTTTTATCGGAAAAAAAGTTAATATTTTTAATATCTTTAAAGGAAAATAGAAATGAAAAGTAGCAGGAAATAATCTCTCCAAACAAAACCCGGTAAGATCTAATCTCAAGCTGGCAGGCCTTCCCGTTACATTCAAAAATCTTATAGCTGATTAGGGGGAGAAAAAACCTGCTATTATTACAATCCAAAACTGCATTCAACAAGTCCTGAAAAGAAGAATCTTAGAAAGCAGCAATTAAGATGAACTCCATCAAAGCCACGCCAGAAAGGCGATGCCCTATCAACTCCTCCCTTTGCCAAGTGACCTGTGAAGGAATTTCTGTATCTGTTAATGTGGGAAAAGGAAACACTGGGGAGATTGCTAATTACTGTGTCCAGCTTATTAAAACGCAACCACCAACTCCAAGGTCTGTAGGTACCGTTAGATTAGATGCCCGAGCAATTTAAGAAACTTAAAGATTGAACCATACCAATGGCAAACCTTTATAATGAACCATACCAAATAGAAACTTAAAGATTGAAGACTTGGTAAACACATGAACATGGCTGAGACTGACGTTCATGAGATTAGAAATGTCATTATCCCAATAAATAAGTCATAAGAGTGTGCACGTGTGTGTAGGGTTGAATGTTAGAGACTGGAGAATAAGACCTTGTAAGATTTGAGCAAACTAAACAAATTGATATGTATTGAGTATTAACTGCACTGTCTCCTGAGTAGGTCCTCTAGCAACAACAATACAGTGTTTCTGCTCGTTCTGTGGCTCACTCCCTCGATTATACACGCCTCAAATAGAAACAAGTAAAAGTCGACAAATAAGGGTTATTTACATAATTACATGTAGAAAATTGAAATAGTTTTTTGAAAAATTATTTTAAGAAAATTGAAAAATAGAATGTTATGTTCAAATTTGTCGGTCTTCCATTTGAAAAACTAAAAAACATATTTTCAATTTTTTAAAATTTAACTAAAATTTAGAAAATAAGTTTTAACTTTTTCCCCAGTATTTTCTTTATAAGAAAAGTCATATTCTTCAAATGTATTCCATTTAAGGGAAATTACTTTTTTTAATTTAATATATATATATATATCATATATTATATATATATATATATATATATATATATATAATTATATATATAATAAATTATATATATATATCACAAGTATATAAAAATTCAGTAAAAAATATTTAAATAACTAATTAATATTTTTTTTTAGTTTTATATTATACTTTAAAATGTAATTAAATTTTATTATTATTATAAAAATATACTTTATGTGAATTAACATTTGTTTTAAAACCATTGCAGTTGATTATTATTATCATTATCATTAATCATTATTATATTATTATTATTAATTATTATTAATTATTATTATATTATATTATTATTATTATTTATTATTTAAATTTTACTATATATTTTACAAATTAAAAATTTGTTTTGTTTTGTTTCTTTTAAATTTTTACTATATATTTTACAAAATTAAAAATTTGTTTTGTTTTGTTTCTTTTAGTTATGAATATTGTGAATAATTTTTAAAATTTTTTGAATTGAAGTATTTTTTTTTTTACTATTAATAAATAAATACGTTTTTTATTTTCTAAAACACTGTTTAATTAGAAAAAATGAACACTTCTAATTCTCTCTCGACAGTAATTTGGTGAATTATGAATCTTTTACACATTAATTAAAATTAATGTGCATCCACATGAGATAAATATAATTATTTTGTGCCCCTCAAAAAATATATAATAATTTTATGCCCCTCAAAAAAATATATAATTATTTTATGCATTCACAAAATAATTATCGGTTATTCTTTTTTTTAATTCAAAAATATATATTGTTTTACAAAGTCAAAAATTTTTGGCTCCTATGTTTTTTTAAGAACCAAGAGAATGTTAATCCTCTTTTGTACTGGACAGCGTAAAATTTTTTTACTCCCTACACAAGTCTATTTCCCATTATCATCTCTAGTATCTATGCGGCAGAGACGCTGAACTACCGAAAGTCCAAAACTATAATAATCCTATGACTGAATTGAATCGGTTCGATTCAGTTTGATTTATATTATCTCATACGCTTTTTTTTCTGGAAAATAAAATCATCTATATGGGGAAATTAAAATAAGGGAGTGAGGTTTTGAAATATGAACATGTGCAGGCATGTGCGTTCCGTTCCCACCACCAGGTCCAGCTAAGAAAAAACCCAACGGCACTACCGGACACCCATTTCACCACATATCTCACTTGCAACTCATCTTACGCCTTTCTAGCTAGGCATTACACAAAAGCAAACATTTCATTTGAGGTCTGTTTTGGATTGCAGATTTGGAATCATAATTACAATTTTATAATTGGATTGTAAAAAATAAAAAATTTCAATTCTTGTAGAATTGAGTTTTATAATTATAACTTTAATGTTTAGATGGTATTTTAGAAGGAATTCCGTTGGCTATATTTTGGGATTTTTTTTTTTCAGATTTAGTTTTAAGTTATTGTTCCCCATATTTTGAAATTTTGTTCTTAGATTTTATTTTGAATTATTGTTATCACCATTATGGTGATTTTGTCAAGCGTCTTTTATTATTTGGATAGTTATGCAAAAAAAAAATACAGATTTTCTCTCAAATAGAAAGAAGAAATTTGAAGATAATCAGATCGGACTTGTAAAAAAACCATGAAGTCGAACAGTGGCCATGAATAGCCACCAAGTGGAGCAAGCGATCACCTATGGCACAAATATTATGCTTTGTCAACTCGATCAGATACTTCAAATCAAAATTGTGTTTTTTTTTATTCTTTGTATAAATGGTTTATTATTAGACTTCCTATACCAAAATATAAAATATATTAATATATATCCCATATTTGTATTGTCACGACCCAAAACCGTGGACCGAACCAGCACGGACCCAGGTAAGTTTAAGGCTCTCAAGACCCGTAGTAAGCCTAACTCAGATTAATCCACTTCTTTAAAGTCAATTCCAGGAACAATAAGCTTATAATATGACGATATTAAACCATACTATCAAATCATATATCTCTCCCAGCTT